ACACACACACACACAGGAGAACATTATTAAAGTTGTTTTACTCTATTCAAACACCAGCAATAGCAGCTGATGCAGTTCATCTCTTCTGAACTGCTGCTGAGATCAAAGTGCTTTGAGTCCATCAATGTTAAGCATCAGTTCACTCTTTCCAATGGGAAGATGCTACCAGGTTGCATTGTGGGAAGTGTAGGATTCATCATTATTGGAGCTGGACCAACACTTGAGGAAACAATGTGTGACAGGTGACCGCCCAGTGTCTGGATGAGCAGCCCACCAACCTTTTTCCTCTCCTTCTCTGCCTTCATCTGCGCGTCTATCTCCTCGGGGCTGGTGTACGTCCGCACGCGACCTTTGTGGCCACCTTTCTTACCTGCAACGACGATGACATCACACACATTGTACGTCAGCGGGGTAAACAACAGTGGACAGACAGACGTCAGGAGAGGAAGAGCGGGTTATAAACACGGTGTCGGTACTCGATTAATGTTTGAACAGCATCAAAATCACATAAATGTTAAGTGAGAGAAACTATGACTACAGAGGCGTGTCGTCCGGATCGCTGCCTGTTTGTTGTTGGAGGGCTGACAGATGTACAGACATCGAGTTCAACTACATGAAGCAGGTTTAAAGGTTGTTCTTACCTCCTCTGGGCATTTTGACACACGGAGACTTTATTATGAACGCAGTGACGAGGAAATACTGACACAAAACATAAGTGTTAGAGCAGCAACACGACCTGACAGCTGGTTAAACTCACAGGCAGGGTGAGTAACACAATACTCCGAGGAGTTCAAGTATTTGCCTTTAGAAAAACAGCTTCAACACAGGGGGGTTTATGGCGTTTAATGAACACAGGTGCTCCTATAGATTAAATAACGTGCGTATTACCGTATAATACCCACTCACTTGACTGCATGTCGTAAGTTATTAAATAAAAGCACATAGATGTTGTTGTTTATCTTAAGGCGCTTTGCTGGTTTGCTAAAGTGATGCAATACGCCAGGAACGTCCCAAAGACATCTGCTTTGATGTAACGTCTTTATACTGACGTGAATTAATGTCAGCATACGTGTTTACAGTGTGTTGGTCCGGGACAAGATTTACCAAGTCGTTAAACAAAAATAAATGAAGTATGTTTATTTTGGGGCTGGTGACGTCATGCGAGAGACGCAAAGGTTGAAATGGACCCCCTCCCGAAGTGACGTCGTATTACAGCGCCTGAGACGGGTTCGCCGAGTCAAAAAGAAAACACCGTGAGAGCTTTTGTTGTTTTTGTACTAAAACAGAGCAAAATGCCCAAAGTGAAGAGGAGTCGGAAGCCTCCTCCAGACGGGTGGGAGCTGATTGAGCCCACTCTGGACGAGCTGGACCAGAAGATGAGAGAAGGTGAGCTGGTAGATTGTCCCGATGGGACTCCGACGTTACACTCAGCACGCAGTTTGTGGAGATGAATTCATTTCTATCAACTAGTTTTACCGATTCAGATGTTAGCTTTTTATGGTGTAATTAGTTTTTTACATTCTGGAAATGAAACACTAGTGGATTAACACGAGTCTCCTACACTCGTGTTAATCCACTAGTGTTAATGTTAAAATTTGAATCACTAGTCTGCTGGTGAAGTGGCTGTAGGTCAGTGAGACGCAAATGTTTAATATTTATTTTTAACTAGACTATATGTCTTAAACATGTGACCATAAAGTGTCCTTAAACTATTGACAATTACTGTAAACCTTAACGTTACTGTGTTCAACTGTACTTTAGACTACGTGCTTACAACTTTGTAGCAGGAGTTTAGAGAAAGTTGGGAAAATGTCCCCAAACACAAAACCAGGTCAATAAAGAAATTTCCCAGTTTGAAGTTGAAGAACTCGACTGACCTGCTTAGAGCCCTGACTTCAACCCCATCCAACATCTGAGACCCCTCACAGACGACTTCACTGATGCTTTTGTGGGTGAATGCGAGCAAATCCCCGCAGACAGATCCCAAACTCTTGTGGAAAGTATTCACACAGGAGTGGAGATTCAGATTCATACTTTATTGTCCTCAGTGGAGGAAATTTGTTTTCACAGTCTGTACAAAGAGCACCTTCAACATGAATTCAACAACACACAAACTACACATAGTACAC